TTTGAGTTAACTTCTATGAGTTCACTTTGTGTAAACTTTTTTTTTCTTTTAAAAAATAAATTTTAATAAAATAAATAATTTTTTACTTTTATAATATATTTGTTTACTTAATTAGTCTCTGAGTTAAATACCTAACTAGTAAAATATTTTTAATTTATCCCTAAAGAACACATTAATAATAACTTTGTTCACAATTTTGAAAGAAAAAAAATTATTTTTTCTTAAAAAAATCGATTTAAAACTAATTTAGTTCTTAAAACTAGTTCAAAATTAATTTGATTTTAAAATCGACTTTAAACCTGTTTTAAACCCATTTATAAAAATAGTTTGGGTTTAAACTAATTTATTGGTATGGTTCAAATGATTCATACATAAATCAATTCAGTTTAATAAAATAGTGTGGTACGGTTCAATGTGATTTTATAAAAAAAACTAAATCATGCACACCCTAATTGATATCACAATACATATAATTTTCCTATTACCCCTAATTGATATCACAATACATATAATTTTCCTATTGTTTATTCATTGATGTGGTGGTCATTGAAATCTAGTCATATTTTACGTGATTGACAAAAGCTGTAATAACTTCATTATTGATACATGTGATCAACTAGATTGTTAAAGTGTAATTCTAAAGATAAATAAGATATGAACGTGTGTCTATATTATATATATATATATATAAGCACATAAAACTCATCTTCTCTTCCCCTTGTCTGAAGGGAGACTAAGGTTTCATTTAGAAAATTCAAAAGATTCAATTGAGAAAGAACTATAAAAACCAGTGACCTCCATTTAATTGTAATTATAATTAATCACTAAAAAGATTTCACAAGAATTGTTGAAAAACGATTTTTAGTTGGATCGAGATCGCTTGGCTCTCTCCGCCCTCCTTCAATTAAATCCTCTTAACAGACAATAGGGATTTTTGTAGTGGAACTAAAAGCTATTCGAGAAACTTGATGAAGTGTTACTAAGAAAGTATTTGAACTGAAACATATTAGAGTCCCACAGTTAAGGGGTTTCTTTGAATAAATTTTTCTGTATACATTTTTAGGAGAAAACAATTAAAAGAAAAAAAATAATATATATATATATTCATGGGCGATCAAGACATTGCACAATTCTAGCGAGAGATCTTTCTCACTCGTGGTAAGAGGATCTTCATCAATGACCAATTCCTGAAGCACTCCTTGCAAAGCTGGTGTGACCGAGGAGCCACGGAGATGCTGTCCTTGGAGAGTAACAACCTCGCCCTTATCACTGAAGCTAACAGTCTTTCGACGCCAATCAATGGTGGTGCGTCCTACGGTTTCTAACCACGACATTCCCAAGATGATGTCAACGCCCCCAAGATCCAACACATAAGCGTCCACAGAGAGAAAATAGTGGCCAACCTTAACTCGAATAGCTCTACATAAGCCCTGCGAGTAGCACTTCGATCCATTTCCCAATCCCACACAAAAGGAATCTGTAGGAGTTAAGTGGACCTCCCTTCGTTCTCTGGAGAAGATCCAGTGGGATGGCTGGCGAAGGCTGAATTGTATTTTTCCATCCAGAATACAGCTCCAGAAACGCATATGTCCCTTGTCCAAATTTGCATGGAGGGTGTGACTTGGCACTGGTTCAAGGTTCTTTCTAATGCAGAACCCAATTTGCAATGGGAAACGTTTAAACGTGCCCTCTTGGATTGTTACGGAGACCATCAATGGGGCAATCCATTTGCACAACTTAAGCTTCTCCATCAATCCACTTCCGTGGATGAATATGTAGAGGCTTTCGAAGTGCTCTTGGCTCAAGTTCCTCCCATGACGGAGACCAATACATGGGGTTTTTTTTGGGCGGCCTTCGCGATGATATCTGCACCGAGGTGTTAGCATTCGAGCCTCCGAATCGGAATCGCATGATTTCAGTAGCCCGACTTATTGAGCGGAAACTGGACTGGTCTTCCCCATCTCGAGCATCTGGAGGACGCCCTTCATCACAATTAAAGCCATCTTTATCAGGAAATGTAGGGATTGGTTTGAATTGCACTTCTCACATTGGGCCCACAAGCCTTTCTCACTCGACCAACAACATTAATGGGCCTCGAGATCCAAGGCCCAAGACTCAAAAAACCCACTGTGTCGAATTCTCGCTCAGGAACTCGAAATTTATCTTATTCGGAGCTCCTTGAAAGAAGAAACCGAGGCCTCTGTTTTAAATGTGGCGACCCATGGGGTCCGACCCACGTGTGTCCAGATCAACATTTACGTCTCCTGATCTTTGAAGGGGATGAGTCTCCCATTGAGCAACCAGAGTTGCCTTGTATTGACGAGCCACCAATTCCAAACAGCGAGATGCAATGTCAAATGTTGGACTATCGAGCATTGGAATCAGGGGATCCTTCTCAGGCAAAAACTATCAAGTTTGATGGAGAGTTGAAGGGGTATCCCATCCTTCTTTTGGTAGATAGCGGTGCTACCCACAACTTTGTGGCTCGTGAACTTGTAGCTTCTCTTAATCTTGTAATAACTCCTACAGATTCCTTTTGTGTGGGATTGGGAAATGGATCGAAGTGCTACTCGCAGGGCTTATGTAGAGCTATTCGAGTTAAGGTTGGCCACTATTTTCTCTCTGTGGACGCTTATGTGTTGGATCTTGGGGGGGTTGCGATCAAATTAATTTATGTATAATTTTTTAACACTAATTTATGCATAAGTTAAATATAAGTTTTTAGTAAAAATTTATATAGGACATTTTTTTTCTGTAAATTAAATTATATACATAAGTTAATTTTAACTTATAAAAATAACTTTTTTTTATTTATTTTTATCTCTTATAAATATTTGTAAAAGAATTTATCTAGACAAATCCTAAACAAGTGTTTCAGATAGAAAGAGAAGTTGTACAATTGCACACCAATATATATCAAATTATCAATGAAAAATGTAGAACATACAGCCACATTTTTTGAGTGTGTAGGTAGAAGACGAGAGATAAAGAATTTTTTTGATAGATATCACTAGAAGCAACTCCAATGCGTCAGCTCTTCTATTATTATTTGTATAATATAGCCTATTTTGATACTGATATTTGGGCCTGCTGCAAATGTAAGTTTCATTTATATATAATGAAAATAAATATATTTTTGCAGTTTTATATAAAAAGGGCGTTGTTTATCAGAATAAAGTTTAATATTAACAAATGATATTAAGTATTAACCAATGATTAGCTTCGATATATTTTAACCATCGATCAGCTCGAAGACACATAATGTTAAGAAACATGGGGTATCTCATGTCTGAATATAAGACACTAACGAGAGATAAAGCATTGCAAATAAGATAATATTTTAAACATGTACAACTGAGTAAGAGAGTGAATTGAGGGTGAGTAACGTTATTTATACCTCACTTGATTCTTGAATTTATCTCATGACATAAACACCTGCTCTGGTTTAAAATTTAGGAGAAAGAAAAGAAGAAGAGAACAAAAGCAACTTATTTTATATACAATTTTTCATAAGAACAAAGATATAATCAAATGGAATTTTTCAGCTTAATTTCTCATTACGGGACCCTGAATTCCCTGTCCTTTTGTAATTATCTATTTTTCTTTAATTTAATATCATGGGTCAAGATTGCATGATCTAGAACAAACGAATGCACCCTATTAGTGCAAAAATAGGCTACTACATCACCTAATTTATGTCAGAAAAACGAAAATACGACGTTATAAAAATGCGATAACAGTTTCTTAAATAAAGAGTCACTAATTTATGTCGGACATGATGCAGTTTGAAGAGAAATTAAAGAACATTCGAGAAGAATTTGAACAGAAGTTTGAACTTTTGGCTCGTTCTCAGCAATAGACTGCAGTTGCTCATGATGGTGTTCGAGTTAGCACTAAAGGGAGTTATGCTGCTCCAGATCCCTCAGGGGAACAGACTCACACTGATGTACCAAACCAGTGTGAGTTATATGTTGAGGATGACCCCCCACAGTTAGTGGCTATTGGCCGAGTATTTGAGGGTGGCTCAACCATCCATGGTGTCCCTCTACAGCCAGACTGGACACGGGTTGTGGTTGACCAAGTTCAAGATGTTGCTGCTCTAGTGCCTTTGCCCAATACAGAGGTTCAACTAGTGGGGCAGGCAACCAGCACATTCTTAGCTTGGCCAAAACGTTTGGTGATGTCGCTTTTAGCACGGGCAAAGGTAATTCTATTATTGCTCTTTTATATTCTTATAATTCTATTATTGTTTAACTAATTTTTATTATTTCTTTAGGATTTTATCAATCGTGGTAAGGAGGTCATGAGAGAACCTCATGTTCATGATGCCAATATCGCCATGCTAATATAGCAGAAGCTGAGGATGATCCCATATCTAGGCTTCTAACCATATTACCACGATTAAAAAAGAAACAAATTCAATTGCAGTGAGACATTAGAGCTTTTGGAGTTGATAGCTCTGATGTTCCACTATACATATCCCTACCTGATGTATTAGAGATTGTTGGGGGAAACTCCATGTTAAATATATCTATCATACAACTGTGAGTCATGTAAGTCATATTTTCTTTTATGAGTCTAAATTTACAATAATTACATTTAACTTATAATAATTATTTGTGTTAGGTACATGGAAAAATTGAGTGTGGAGCAAGCACAAGCACAAGTATATGAATTTATTGAGCCTCGATCCTTTGAGCATTCATCCTTTGAAGGTCAGGGGTTCGAATTCTGCTTTGTATATGCAGTCGCGTTAAATTTTGGGGTCAGTTATCCCACCTTTTGAGGTGCCTTCAACATAGCGAGGAGATTAATCACTGCTATCAGCAGTGAATACTCCAGGAACATAAAAAAAAAAAAAAAAACAAACAAACAAATGCATGTATAATTAAATTAATATATTTAATATTGTTTTTTGCCGATCTATTCTAGTCTAGTCTCTTTCTTGTATGCAGGCACAATACTAGACAAGAAGGAAATAGAAGAACGCATAACATGAGTGAAAACTAAAAATCAAGTCACTTGGGTAAAACCGAAGAAATTACAGAAAGAAGCAACGCCATGGTCACTCCAGGTTATTGCTTATTAAAGTGAGAGGAGATCGGAAGCGGTTGAAGTAAATGAAATATACAGATAAACTATGTATTATCATATATCAGATATATATAAAAAATAAAGTCTCGAGCTAATAATTAACTTACTCAATTAAAGAAAGCCTCATATCATAGTTCTATATAAGATATTGTAGCCATGTCATGATTCTTCATGAATCACGATGACATGATCCTCTCTAGTAAGGTGGTCTCGCATGACTCCAAAGAGAATAAGCTTCATGATTCATCTGTTGCCCTTGCCCGTTCGGAACACCCAAATTCGGAGGAACATTATTATTATTATTATACACCGAAATCGACGACGAGGCCTCGCCGGGACCACCGCCCAGGCCCGGCGGAGACCCACCGTGCTCCTGATCATCCTCCTCCAAGGGCAACCTCTCGTAGGTTGCATTGGAAAACGTAGCCGCCATTATCAAAACGGGACCCGCCGCCACGAGCGGCCCCACCACCCCGCCGCCGACGATCTGCCCCTGCCCTCCGGCGAGGTAAACGGTGAGACCGGTGGCGGCGGCGGGGGAGGGCCCGGGCAGAAACGAGCCGGTGAGGGAGACGATGTCGAAGCGGCCGTGGAGCGCCATGGCGGCTCCAGGCGCCGTGGGCTGGCGGAGAGTGACGTTGACGACGGCGCCGCTGCCGCTGAGGACGCTGACCCCGCGCTGGCGCCTCCTGGCGAACTGGAGCACGCAGTCGACGATGTCGGCTCCGGCGGCTACCTCCATGACGTGGCTTCGCAGCGCGTTAGGGCTGTCTCTGGTGACGAATATGGGCGGCTTGGGCTTGTTCTTTGAGCCCGGTGGACGCCCCCTTGGGCGGCGCGTGGTGGCCACGTCGATGGCCCCCTCCCTTGGCTCGTCGCTGTTCTCCTTCTCCTCTTCTTCTTCCCCTATGTGGTTCGTCACCGCACTCTCGTTCATGGAAAACCCCAGATCCGCTTTTCTCATCGAGTCCCCAGAGTTATCCAGACCCATGGACCCGGTCCACCACCGGTTCGACATAACTTGAAAAACAAAAATAAAATAAAAAAACTAATTATATAGATGGAAGATCGGAGGAGGGAGATGGTTATTGTTTAGTAAGAGAGTGATATAGTATTGTGTAGAAAAAAATAATACGGAAGAAGAAGAAGAAGATGATGATGATGTTTGGAATAAGGTGATTAGGGTTTGGTTTGTATATTATATAATATATAATATAATATTTATATGTGTGTGGGGTGGGAGAGTGGGGTGCATGAACTTGCTCGCCTCCCGACAATGTTGATATATACGAGAGAGATGGTGGAGAAAGCTACTACTACTTGCTACTCCCTCGTAACCAATATATACAGCACAGCTTCTATTTCATGTTTGACCATTTTTTTCCCTTCTCATATATGTTCAATCACATGATTTTGTAAGCCAACTTATAAAGAGTGGGAAAATAACTAGTGAGTAATATTTTTTTTAAGATGTATTAAATATTGCATCCCTCTTTTAAGATTTTCATGTCTATATGCTTTGACTAGTGTTTTGAATACTTATTTTTAAATGGTCCTATTTAATATCTTTTACGTTTACTCTTTGACTGATATTATTTTTATTAACAAGACTTTCGGTTCATCTATGACCCCATAATTGTATGGTTTAATTAATATTCTGTTCGGGATTGTTTATTTTACGCGAGAACAAACGGTTATCAACTAAAGGATAAGACTTGAGAGTAATGATGGGTGTTTAATACTAATTGATCCGGGAACTTTGATTTTATTTTGTTTTTCGTTTCAATGTACAAGTGGAATAATTAATTAAGGATAATTATACAGTGAGATTTCAACGCAGAAAATAATGGTGCATGTGTTGGTTGAAGAAAGATTAAATAAAAGGGAGTGAAAAGAAATAGATAACATCATCTTTTGATTGTTACTAGTAATTTGGGTGCCAGCGGGCACGATATATTCCTTGCTTAATTTGCGACCATGGCTTGTGTCATTTCATGTGTGGATGATTACTTATTAATTATTTAATCAACACCACTATCTTTTTATTTTCCGGTGGATTGATTCTATTATGCGTTCTTCACTCAGAAATTTTCCACATGCTTCTTCTTCTTCAACGATTAAGAATAAAAAAAAATAAAAAATAAAAAATAAAAAAAACTACCTACGAATATTGATAGATAAAATTCACCATTCACTTAAATAGATACTTATCAATAATTTAAATAAATTATTTATATCTATTAATAAATAGAGACGAGGATAAATATATATATCACAATATTTATTCCACATATATTTATCAAATACTCGTTATAATAAAATTATTAAATATTTTTGTTCAAATATATAATACATGTGTTAAATAAAAATATAATATTATTTAAATTTCTTTTATTTATACTTGTGAGATTAAAATATTATAATTTTTTAACTTTTATTTTGGATTTTTGATATTAAATTATTTTAGTTTATTGAATTTGTTATGATATTGAAATACTTTAATAATTAAATATAGTTTTTAAATTAAAGAATTTTGATTAATAATGTAATGTAGTGAGTAGATTTCAGAGTTTAGTTGACTCTAGAGAGAAGAGTACATATAAGGGTTTCTTTGAGAAGGGAACTTCATAAGTTCATTATCAAAGAAATTTAGAGAGAAGTTTTATAGAGAAGGACCTTGGGTCTGTGAGCTCCTTTCTCTTCCAAATTTCTCTGTTTGATTCCTTTTCTCTTCTAGATTACTAATCTCATCTGTCTTTTCTTGGAATTCAGGCTAGGAAGCTTGTTTTTGGAGGATTGAAGTTCGGGAGTCGAGCTTCGGAGGAAATTCTTCTTCTTCTCAGTTTAGGGATGGCAAAAATACCCGCACCCGCGGTTATCTGTGGATAAAACCCGCTACGGATAATAAATGAATAGACTAATTGGGTACCCGCGGATAATGGGGACGGATAATTTTTTACCGTTTATAAATGGGGCGGGGGCGGGTATGATGATATCCATACCCGCGGGTACCCGTTTAATATTATTTCTTAAATATCCTAATTATCCTTGTACCACATAACCCTAAAACTACACTCTCTCATCTTATTTTCTTACAAAAGTGAGGTTGATGAAGTTACCGACATGTGTTAAGCATGTTATAGAATTATGTTGGATGTAATTTGATTAATTTTCTAGCTTTGATTGGACCAATAAGATTTATGTATTTTAAGTTATTTACTTTCATTTGCAATTATGATATTGAATTATTGTAGCTTTGTGATGAGACTTTAACTTATTTGTGAGATTGATGTATTTTAAATTATTGATTATCTTGAATTTTTATTATTATTTCAACAAAATTAACGTTAAATAAAAGTTCAAAATTAACATTGAATTTTTATTTTTAATATTTCAATGACATTAAAATATAAACTTAAAATTATTTGTAATATTTTTTTTTTTAATTTCTTAAAAATTTTATAAATATCCATGGATATCCGTGGGTATTCAAGAAATTCATGGATACCCGCTTAATGGATACTCGCGCGGATATGGGGTGGGTATAGGGCCAATTTTCATTCAGCGGGGCGGGGGCGGATTTATTATTACTCGCCCTCATGGGGCCCTATTGCCATCCTTATCTCAGTTCTTGGCTATCTTGAGCCAATTTTCAGGTGAAGCAAGATAAAATGTAGATTGATTGGGTGCATGTGAGTTTAGAAACTCAATTGGTACATGAATTTTGGGAATCAATGGCTGAATTGAAGTGTTTCTCATTTTTCGGGGTTTTGGAAAAAATGGGAGTTGTGGTGATTTTGATGCGTCTAGTAGATGCATGTCGAAACAAAGGTTGTTTTCTAGTTGTATGAAGTCTATGTGTTTCATTTCATGAATTGCATGTGGTTGGATTTCCTGATTTTCAGGTTTTATAGATGGAATTTTCTGAGTTTTGGGAGGTTGCTGTATGAATTTGTGTCGGGCGCATGTTCTTGATGCCGAGCGTGCATTCATCAAAGCAACCGTTTCTTGATCACGCCGAACGCGAGGTTAGTTGCGCTGGGCGCAATTGCAAATGAGAGTCTCTGGATGAGTTCATGTCGGGTGTGAGGAGAACCACGTCGGGTGCAATATCAGATAGTAGCTTGGATGGGTTTTTACTGATATGGCACCGAGCGCAAGGTGGGTGCGTCGGGCGTGAAGACACTTGGAGGTCTCTGTTTGATTTGACACTGGGCACAGGGTGAGTGCACCGGGCGTGGAGACCCTTGGAGGTCTTTGTTTGATTTGGCATCGGGTGCAAGGTAGGCGCGCCGGGCGTGGAGACTCCTATGAGTCTTTATTTGAATGACGTCGGGTGCGAGTTGATTGCGCTGGACGTGAATGAGCCTTAGAGCTCTCGAGTTGGATGTTAGGTCAGGCGCGAGATGGTTACACCAGGCGTGAGTATGTTTAGAAATATTGATTAAAAATGATACTTATGGACGTTTAAAGTTGAAGATTTAATCATGTATGTATGATATATGATGTATGGTGATGCATGATTCACATGTATGCTTGGTAATGATATGTATGAATGTTTAAATATGATATGACATGTGTATATGTTCATATGAGAATGATAAAGCTTGGGAGAATATTAATCCTTTTATTGCATGGTGTATTTGTGATGGTAAGACCATTAAGTTCTGGTCAGATTGCTGGTTAGAGTCACGTACAATCCTAATAGAGGTGGTTGATACATATTTACCATGGCAAGAACAGAAGGAAGTGTTAGAGGATTACATGGGGGTGGATGGGAATTGGAGTATTGAGGGTATTCGACAGTTTTTACCAACGAAGTATTTTTTGTAAGTGTTAGGTAGTGCTCCACCAGATACAGATAATGATGCAGATTGCATGGTGTGGGGTGGATCCAAAGATGGTATGTTTACCATTAAATCTATGTATGCTTCAACTCATGCCATGACTATGTTGCCTCATTATAGTTAATATAAACTGATTTGGAAATGAAAAGGGTTGGAGAGAGTGTGATGCCTACTTTGGAGGGTGACTCATGAAAGTCTCTGTACAAGTTCTTGGAGGCTAGCAAGAAGGATAACTAATAGTGATGACTGCCCTTTATGCTATAGGGCTAGTGAGACTTGTATTCACCTGCTTTGGGATTGCGACTTCGCTCACGCCATCTAGCAACGTCTACATGCAACAAACCATAATGAGGATTTCTACGCCTACATGTTGAATGATTGGTTGAAGGTTAATTAACTTATCGAGAACAAACAAATCTTGGTCATGTACCTTTGCAATTTGCTTGGATGCAATCTAAAAGGCTAGAAATAGTCTTATTTTTAGTCAAACTAGTCTTATTCCCGAACAGGTGGTTTGTGAAGTGACTGGTCGTGTTAGAGAGTTAATTAAAGCTTCAATGTCAAGTAGCTTTAATTCACATATCCAAGGGAAGATGCTTCATACAATAGGTTGGTCACGTCCTCCTCATGGAATCCTTAAGCTTAACAGTGACAGGCTTGTGGCAGAGTCAAGGATTACAGCTTGTGGTGGTGTGATTCATGACAACAATGGAGTTTTTGTGTTTGGCTATTCTAGGGTAGTGGGGATTTGCTCAGTGCTAGCTACAAGCTGAATTGTGGACTATTTACCATGGATTGCGTTTGATAAAGGAGAAAGGCATAGGGTTGGATCTTCACATTGAATCAGATTTTAAAGTTGCGGTAAATTTCTAAATGAAGGGTGCCCGAGGAAGCATAGTTGTTACTCATTAGTAAATCTCATTGTCAAGATATTGTAGGAGGCTTTCGTGACTTAAAGTGTGTCCACATCCTCTGCGAGGCAAATCAGGTAGCTAATAGTTTTGCCAAACATGGATTCTCAGTAGTTGAAGGTTTTTCAATTTTTTTCGATTCTCCCAAGTTAGGCTAAATTCCCTTTACTAGTCGATATGTCGGCTGTATCTTTTCCTTGTGGTTTTTAGTTTAATGACATTGGACTTCTAAAACTCGTATTTCAACTATAAAAAAAAGAATGTTTTTTGGATTTTAAACTTATGTAATATTACATATAATAATTCAATTAGTTATTTTTCTCAGTTAATTTAATTATTAAAAAGTATTACTAATTTACCATATTATTTTGTCTCTGTCATTTTTATTTTCTTCTTTCTCTTTCCTCAATTTGCAAAGTACGAAGAACATTTTTACTATAAAAAAAACAGCTAAATTTTCTACATGTAATTTGTCCCAATTACGTTCTAAATAGAATCTCGTCAACTTTTGTGATCTTTTTTTTAGTTTGAGTTCAATTTTATATATCTTTTCTAGTACAAATT